CTTTCTGCCATAGTGGTCCAACCATGGAATGCGCTGCTCGGAGATGTTGCAGTATCACCACCAATGGAAAGCTTTAACGGGAATCTTGAGGGATATATGTTCCGAAATGAACAATAGTATTGAGAGATTGCTCTCAGCCCTCTAGACGCACGACCACTTTATCATACTTTTGCATGTCCATTTGAATTTTTCAGCCTACAGGACTAATCTGTAAAATGCACGCAATTTTACGTCGCGAAGAGGGGCCCAAGGCTCATGTCTTTTTCCTCCGATAAACTGAACTGTCTTTTATCATTAATGTCCGTGTATCGGTTGTGCGCTGAAGAGTTGGTACGCTGGCTTAGTCCGTCGGATTGTTAACTGGTTTTTTCTGACCGTTAGATCTGTCTGCGTTAACTCTAGTGGTGAACCATTCTACCGCATGTGGTTATTGTCATAGCTGCTGATGACGCTCGTAGTCCGTGCCTGGTTCCTTGGTTCGGTCAGTTATTTGCCTGTACTTGAACTGCAAAAGGCTTTGGTTCAAGTCAATAAACGACCCCAAAACGCATCTCCATCACACACTATTTTATTAGTTCAGCATGAACCTGTTTACACAGTTGGAATAAGACACAACATGTACGACTTACAGCAGACCGAACAGCTGCAAAAAAGTGGCGCACATTTTATAAAGTACGTTTTCATGACAAGTATTTAAGTTCCTTGTGCCCGCTAAAGTCAGGAAGGTGACGGGTCGGACAGCAAGGCCATATGCATCTTTCGAAACGTCTGATTACAACGGGGTCCATCTTCAGGGATGACTACAGCATCATGACCAGAAGCCAGGAAAGTCAGAATTTGATTGAAGCTTGGTTATCTGCTGTGACCTCCGTCAATCGGCATACTGATATTTTGTCCGCATGCCGAGCCTCATGCAGCACTAGTCGTCAGTTATCTGTTTTAGATGGGCACCCATGTGATTTTGGAAGTTCGAAAGTAATATGCAAATGGCTCCGATGCTCGGTCCGTCCCCTTCCTAACTACGAAACTTTTCGGTTTGCCTTATTTGCATCTACTCACTCAAACTAGTGACTGGATCTTCTTCCCGCGTTTGCCTATTTGCTCGGCCCTTATTTGCTCTCATTTTCTATAGGAAAAACGCGGCAAGAGTCGAAGCAGACGACTGACTCACTGGCACGTGGATGACACGTGCTGGTAATGTTCGATTTTCGCTACTTACCCTTGACAGTGTGATCGCTCGCAGTGATGGTCTTGCCCTATAATGTGTTGGGATTTATTTCTGTGCCTTTATTTTGAGCCTAAACATTCCGACACTTGTGAGAGCCTGGCCCGATGTTCTGTTTGGTTCAACGTCCGCCCGATCGATTCGACTTGTTCGCAGACTATCAATTTGACATGCTCGACATGCGAAAATATTTGAATGAGTGGCACCGGCGTGAATAATGGACTAGATTGTATCAAGCTTTGGTAGAGACGTGCAAAGCGTTGATACCTCGGAGGGCAGTCGCTTCCTCACTACAGCGGACAGCTTTAGTACGGTTATCGAACTGGAAACTGTCGACTGGATATCGAAATGGGCCGTGTGTGTCGCTCTCAGGCCGGCACACGACACAGTAACGGTGGAGTTCTTTACTGAAATACGGTTGTACTTCTAACTGTTTCCTCTACTGAGATTATTTTATTAAAATTAAACGTTCGCCGTCCGTCTTCAAACTATTTCCGATTGCAACCGATACAGCTGGAGCCTGCAACTCAGTGGTTCAGTGAATAAACAGACCCAGTCTTTCGGGGTTAGGTTTGGTGGTACCTACCTGACGATGACAAATAAGCCACCAACAGTCATTCGTACGTCTTTTGGCCCCGTTAGTAACACTTTTTGAACTGAATTGCCAAACCTACTCTGGTGGTTTTTTTGCGGTTGCTGATGTTGTGCTTTTTTATGCATCAATCTACAGTCGTTTTCGGTTCAGCACACTATGGGATCTCGTTAGTCCTAAAGGCCTGTCCTAGCTTACGCCAGTCCCATTACAGAATACATCAGGTCAGATTATAGGAAGATGCCTTTACTTCACGTAAAGCACCGGTCCACCACCCAGTTCGAAGTCAGTTAGCCCTTCCCACTATCATTAAATATTCTTACTTTTGCTGCGTACTAGACCATCGATACTACGCCACAGAAGTTGAGCTTAGTGTCTGTGAGCACGCCATGATTATAATCCACACCGTAAACCTCAGGGCGTTTGCATGAAACCCCTGTCGTATAAACAGTTCTAACCATGAAACTCATGGCTTTTTCTTAAACTCCAGAAGTCTCTAAAATGAGACAGCAACAAAATTCCACGTCGAGGTCCGTGTCGGAAGGACGTTTTTGTTGGACAAGAAACAGCGTCATTATTACTCTGGAAATCAAACCATGGCACACAGACCATAGCGGTTCGCTCGTTCGTTAGACAGTAATTGGCACAGGACGCCTTGGGTGAGAGATGGATCGCTGTCGTTCTCGGCTTGTAAGTGGAAACTCGCTATCCATCCTGACCTCACCCTCTCTCCGCAGAACCGGTTTAGGATTCAGAGACTGTACAGAATTTCAAAATGCTGACAAAACCTGAGATCTTTTTGTGTCACAGTCGGTTTGCTTGCATTAAGTGTAGTCCGTCCTGCCTGCCCGTTACTTGTGACGCCCTGGGTAGTCTTCAACCAGGCTGTGGGCAGTCCCCATAGTATGTCCCTTTTTAGTGCTCTATATACATGGGAGAGAATGAAGGCAGGTGATCAGCTTCCGGCCAGCAGCCCGCCCAATTCATCCTGAGCCGATGCGTAGGTGCCTGTTACTTTGATTGATCAAACTGGTATTCGTTTGCTTTCCGAGACATGTCCTTTTGTCTTTCTCGGGGAACGCCGATAAGCCCTGTAAGCCTGTACCTTCCTGTCAAAACGGACCTTGTGTTGCTAGGCGGACGACCCGCTTGCCGACTATGTTGATGGCCACAGGAAAAGCTATGCCTTGTTACCAGGGCAGCACCTCGTTCCTGACGTTTCTTAAGCCAGTCATGCTTGGCATCATAACAGGAATTAGAGTCACCACTATCTGCCTATGAGCCTTTGCCGATTTTATTATTTATTTTTGGATCGCCTTTGCCAGGGAGTACCCTGTTAGCGTCTTCAGACACTTATGACCAATAACAACCCGTTTCTTATACCTGGTCCTTAGGTGGAAGCTCTGATACCACCGGTCATTTTGCACATGCGGACGGGTAATTTGATTCAAATGTAAAAAAACTCAGGGCTCAGGTGGCTTAAACGTTGGTTGCACTTAAACCACGTCCATTGTGCTGTAGGTCCGAATCCCGCCGTTTCTCAGTTAAGCAAGGGGACGGATTTCGGTTACAACAGAACAGGTCTGGGTCAGTTTTACTTGGAAAAAGCCGGAATAATTGGTCGACTCGACGATGTCTACTGTGTGCTCCATAGTAGAGTGAGAGCAGGGACGATGACTTGCACGTGAATTAGTTCATAGTGAGAGTAGACTTTCGAAGCACCTGCCACACTCCCCCCCTTCTCCCCCACCTGGACCCGGCGTCAAGACAGAAGACCGGAGGTGGGAGAGGGCACGGGTGGCTGGCGCCGCCACACGCGTCACTTGCCCAGCACCACTCAGACTTTTTCCTTTTAAGGGTACAAGGTATTCTGGCTTTATGCTTTCTTTACACAGCTTTCGGTTGTGCGAGAAAATTTAATTGCCCTTAGTCGTATAAAAGCATCCCCTTCGGACTCTCGCATGTTATCCAATATATAATCCAGGCGCGCTAGTTTTCCCCAAAGGATAAGTCTTGTGACAGTTTACTTTTCTTTTCTAAAGGACCGACCGCGGTGGTCTCATTACCTATCACGGCCCCGGCCAACTCACCGCGTACCCCATTATCAACCTCAAGAGCCGCCATCTAGCTGGAAACGGTCTCAGATGGTACGTTGGAGCTCTTGAACAAGCAGGCTATGAAGTCTGTCAGAAGAATTTTGCCATAACTACTGCCTCCAAGGGTAGCGTCCTCTTTCCCGAGAGCACAGGAGCTACTGGGGTCTGGCTTGATCGTGGGCACAAGATCATGTCTATAGGTAGTCCACTCGGTCAATCCTTCAATGCACGGATTAAAGCAGTAGAATGTTTCCCAGAAAACCCTCAACAAATATGCACAGTTGCTTATACTTCTGTTTCGATTTTCTAGGCATTCACCGATCTGGAGATGTGACTTATCACGGAGTCGGACTAAACTGTACCAACGAACCTCTCAGGTGGTTTGACCAGATCACGCCCTGTGGACTGGTCGGCTGCAGGATGGCGTCCATTGAGTCAGCCACAAACAACCGTGTAACACCTGAGACAGTAGCACCGGTGCTCGCCAGGGCACTCTACACCAATCTATTTCGCCAAACAGATGCACCCTCGCCAGTACGGCTCGCCTTCTCAAAACTACCCACCTTGGGTGGTACATCAGGCTGGGACATGCTGGCACGCTTCATCCTGCACGATGCAGACCTACGGTCTCGGAACGCCTCTTCTGTCCGCTTAAACCTCTCCGAAGCATTTTTACACATGCGGACACTTTACAGAACCAAGGCACCCGCAGTTTAGGCTTTACCACTTACCGATTACCAACTGTAAATAAAGTTTCCGTTGAAGCTTGGGTTGGCGCCTTCTTTTGACCCAGTTAGTCTTTTTTCAGTACACAGGATACGCGGTCTGACCAGTATGTCATCGGAATTGCTTGGTGCGCCTCCTCGCTTGCGTACCCGAATGCCCAACATCTCGCCAGTCGCTCATCCCACCGCTGGAGTGTGTTACCAGAAATAATTAGTCAGGACTGTCCTCGACGCGCTTGTGCGTTCAGTTGGTCAGGTCGATCCACTTGTGACACCTTACTCTACGCTTACAGGTGGGATGCTTGGCTCACGTTCATTAGTCGTTTAACCAAGCGCCATCCAACTGGTAGGGGGGGACGTTCACCGATCGTTCCTACGGAGCTCACTCGTTCCGTTGTGCCTTACAGGCTCTCTCTCGAGCCCAACCAGCGGCGCATGATATGGGCAGTATGGTATTACCGACAAAGACAAGGGAGGCTGGAATGGCCATTTCTGGCCCATTAGCCGTCGTCAGCCAGTCATACCCAACCCCGAAGTGTGGATATCGGTAATGCCATTCTGCCTATATCATGCACCGCTGTGCGGCTGCTGGTTGGGCTCGAGAGAGAGCCCGTAAGGCACAACGGAACGAGTGAGTTCCGTAAGAACGATCGGTGAGCGCTCCATACCACTGTATATTCCCGATCGAAAACCGACAGGGCAACAAGCTCGTGGCCCAGTGGTTAGAGGCGTTAGACTTCCAACTAAGAGGTCACGAGTTCGAGACTCGGGTGTTCCACACTTCGCGGTTGGGTATGGCTGGATGACGACGGCTAATAAGCCAGAAATGGCCATTCCAGTCTCCCTTGTCATTGTCGGTAATACCATACCGCCATCCGACTGTCGAACGGTCGAAGCGTATCTGCCTCGATTCTGAACTCCAATCACAAACATCTGAATGTTGGGCGTGTGCCCCTGGGTCTGCCAAGGTCGGATCGGCATTTCCCGAGACTGGTGAATAAAGGGACTTAGATGGAATGGATAATAAGCACAGAGAAGTCGGTGAGTCCAGTCGGTCGTATTCGATGAGGCCTGATTAAATCAAAATCTCCATTGAAAAACAGGACATAATGCAATCCAACATGCTGGAAGGGGGGCTGAAGGAGGGCCGTCCCAGAGCCTCAGGCAGCACGAAAAAATAACCCTGGGAAGTGTAGATTGTGCAGTGGATTAGCCTTGCGGCCGGAACAGTTCACGGGAGGTGCTCACTAGGAATTCCAGTTCCTCAGTGTCCATGTCGACCTCCTGCTTGTCAGTGTCGAACCCTATAAAAAGAGAAGTGCCGGCAGTTAGGATGGTCGCGCAAAAAAACCTTGGGCGCAAGTACTGCATGCACGATGCCGATCGCACTGATGAGTCTATCTGCCCTATCTATTTGCCCTCGTTAACGGTCATGATGGCTAAGTCAGGAAACTTTTGAGTACGACTGGCCGATTGCTGCAACTGCATATATTCCGGGTGCAAACGACAGTGTCTCCGAGGGTGCCACTAGTCTGACGAATGAGGACGGCTAAATTAGGGAAACTGCGCCGTTCTCATGTTTAAATAGGATCTCCTGCACCCTACGATCACGCATAATTAATACGAGTGAAATTTATTGGTGTTGACAGCTGGCGCTACTCCCAGCTTATTTTGCAGATGCTAGTCTGCAATCCGAACAGATGATGAGAGTAAAACTGTCCGAATGAACTTTTGGGGCGACAATACCGAGGACCTTCATACTCAAAGGAGAAGGCTGGACTGGACGGATTTACTGCCAAGGCGCATGCTGAGGGGTTAGAGCATCGACCCTGCAGCTCGTCTGTCATAGGTGGCGACGACCAGGGGGACGAATTGCGCGTGCTCCGACTGGCAACGCACCTACCTCACACACACACCCTGAAGAGACATGACACAGACGACCACAGATGGACGCTGACGCGTCTGAGCGTGCCACATACGGGCTGCTTCCTGCAGGATAAAAACAATTGCAGCCCGGCCGACTTGCCCCATCGGTGAACAACCGTACAGGCCACGACTCTTGGCGTGCTGTGACAGTTTAAACGCACTTCAGGTCCATAATAAGGACGCGGTGCGTGTTCGTCCTATCCTGACCGGGTTTTTGGAAACGAGGGTAAACGCGGCAAGTATCGCCCAGAAAAAAGGGATGTCTACTCAAGTTACTAGCCAGTGTTATTGTCTGCATACACAGATTTGGGCCCGGCAAGTGGTTGAGACGTCGAACATTGGCCTTTTTGCCTACACGGTCACAACGCAAGCCCCTAGCCCGTCAATGCTTCATGACAGTGGTGCCGCCACAAGCGACGATGTCCATCGCTGCCTCACAGAGTGGCACGACACCGGTTATTTGAAGGTGAATCAGGTTATAGTGAAAAAGACTTGCGTAGCCTCTACCGCACTCTTCTCTCCATCTTGGCAATAGAAAGTCAAAAAGACCGGCACTGCAAACAGGACTTATGAAAAACGACTAACTTACCACGCAAAGCGTCCCGTTTGGGCTTATCAGCTTTGTAACGATTGAGGAGGTTCTCCCGCCAGGCCGCGAAATCGCTCATCATCTGGTTACGCTTCCGCATCAACTCGCGACTCGCCTCCGAGGCCAACATCTTGTCCTGCGTATCGAAATGAGCCGAGTACTTTGAAGCCAGGTTCTTCTTCAGGGCCTATGGGGGGAAATCCAGCGAAATACGTGTCAGGGAGGAGGCATATAGATAAGATAAATGCGTGACTTAGTGTGATTGGATGTTATACACAAGCCTGCGCCCAGAGTTTATGCATTTGACTAGTCCTGCTGCTTCACGTGAACAGACAGTTCTGGTTGTATCCTGATTGGCGACAGAATAAAGTCGGACTGTGGAAGAGGACCACCAGGTAGACGCGGCATCACAGGCAAGCAATTCGGATTATCAACTTGGCATAAAGTTGCATACAGAGTGATCGTCGAAGTATCTCAGTTCCATCTACGTTATCATGGTCGGCTAAAGAGGACGATGGGTCCATGTCCCAACCCGCATATAACGTGCCACAGAGGAAGCAGTGGTGATAGGTAAGCACAAGCGTACTGTGCTCGAAGCGACTGGTTGAGTTGGGGTTGCGTCTACGCGTACCATGCACGCGCTCGTCGTCACGCGGGCCAGGCTTAGGGAGGAAGGACCCCGGGGAGCCGCAGAGGGAGACACTGCTGTCTGGCCTCCTGCCCGGGGGCCGGGTTAGCCTGTGGGCCGGTAGTCCTCGAGGCCATAGTTTATACGTGTCTTGATTATTTAAAGGCATTAGTAGTAAAGCCGGAGACGAGCACAGTGGTCTCTACCTAACGGACGCTATAAACATGTTTGGCCTAAAGCAATGACGCGGCCAGATCCCGAGGGTTCGCGCGCGCACAAATAGGACATACAGCATGCTGTGAACAGCATGAAAATTAGTCAAGCAATGGCTGTCTACTTCTGACAGGCAAACTGATGACTAGGCAAAAAAACGACCAAGGGTGCGAGGTACATGCCTGAATCTGTTCGTTGGAGAGGAGAGTGGGTGGGAAGGGTCGCCAAGAGAATATGCGCAGCTCCATGACCGACATCTGGTGGAGCGGTCGTCCAATGGAGCTCCAGAACCAGACAGCGTTGTCTGACTTGTGAGAGAAGTTGCTCACCACGGAGGCCAGATAGCGCCCAGTGCTGTCCCAGTGCAGTTCGCTGGCCATTGGATGGTCAACTTTGGCCAAGGATTGGCAGTCATTGGCGTCGATGAATTCGATGCTGGTGTCGGCGCTACGGTAGGAGAGAAAAGAGTCTCGGGTGAAAAAAACAGGATAACACTCAGGCGGCGGTTGGTAACTGCATGAGGGAGTATCAGTGGAGTGGGCGAAAAACGGAATGTCGCACTACCAAATTTAAGTAGATACGGGAGAGAGCGGTAGCCACGTAAGAGAGAGGGGGAGAGAGGGAGAGAGCAGTTAGTTACAACCCGGTCATCCCCTAATAGGACCTCGCGTCGTTTGTCTAACCTGGCTTACAGGAGGGAACTGATCTGGAGGGAGGGATGGAGAGAGACGAGATCGTAGACAGCCTACGAAAAACTGTATAAAGCCAACAAACGGATAGACCGAAGCGGTTATTGCAGTCGAAGGTTTATGTGCGTCTACTATGCCATTATTCAGCAAACCATGACCCTCGCAGTTTGGTGTGTGCTGGCAGTTCTCTGGTACCTAGTTCGCTGTCGGTAGATGCGCCTGCGCTCGCGCTGGGAAAACAAGTCGTGTACATGGTTGCCCAGTATTTCTTCTACTCCGCCATAAGTAACCAATAAAATCAACTCCCCTATAAGTAGTTGTGATTTTTGCCCAGTCATCCACGCCCTTTCAGTTGTTGGTCAAAACCCTGATCCTGTGTTTGTTGTGGACCAGGTGCTTTGGAGTGGAGCGCCAAGGTGCGGGTTCGGCCACGACATCCACTTGCGCCCTCCTTCGCCTCTGGTCTTCTTGGCTCCGTCTTTTCACCGGGTCGGGGTGGGAAGGAGGGAGTGCGGCGGATGCTACGCAAGTCTTCTATCGCTTTAAACGAACTCACTTGCGAGTTACCGTGCCTGCTTTACCTTGCTGTGGAGCACACGGTCAGCATCGTCGAAAATGACAGTTGAGCTATCGGGGGGGGTGAAATAGCTGCGGTTGAATTCAAAAGGTGAGGAGACTATATACCTTGCTTCAAAGGTCGAAATTACTTCTTGCAAAGTCGAAGTTTTGCTTCGGAGTTGATTTTGACTGAACCAGTAGTTCGACCATCGCATGGGAGAGACGAGACCCATATCTAGCAGTAGTGACTCGCGCGTACTTTTGTCTACAATTGGAAGGACTTTGAATGCACCCACCTCACATCCAGCCCCCACATTCACCATATTAAAACGTAAGGGCAAAGCCCTGACGATAGGACTTGGGCGTGAGTGCGATGTCTGACCAAGCTCGATAGCTGGTCTGCACGTACAACAAACCACCTCGTGCAGAATACTGGCGAAGCCAATGGAGACTGAAATGGCTATTTCTGGCTTATCGGTCGGCCATACCCAATCCCAAGTCAGCATGACCTGAGATTCGGTCCTGGCCCTAGTTATGCACGCGCCAGGCATCGTCGAGGTCTCCGACTGCGAATGAGATTGGGTGCAATACTTCTCCAGACATAAAGCGGCCGTCTAACTCGTGGGTGAGGTAGTAAGTCTGGCTCACAGTGAACAAGTTTCGCACGCAAGTCACGGATCTAACCACCTGGCGCATCAGTGTTGAGCACCGTCGCCTGCGTTGGTCGAACTGTTTCGTAGCGAGGCGGACATCGGCCTCCCTGTTCCTCGCTCACTCTTCTCATTTCAATCATGATCGAACGACCAGACAGACCCAACGAGACGCAGTAACCGATCATGTGCATAACCTTGTCTCATCTGGCGCTTCCTACCTCACGGTGCAATCCACTAACGGTTATGGGAATGAAGGATATCAAAGTGGCGCGTCTAATATGTGGGAAGCCCAAGAATAACATAGATTTTTAAGGGGGGTGGGGTGGGGGTTAGAATACAATGATTACCCTTTCAGATTGGCTATCACGAAAGTGTTGCCCTTGGGGGACCAGCGAAGCTCATTGATACGCGAACCGTCGCGTGAGAGGACGGAGACTTCACGCACTTTGCCAGCCTTTGTCAGCTCGTAGATGGGCACGGAGACTGCGCCACCTGGTCCGGTCTTTACGAAGGCGAAGCGGTTGCCGTTGGACTCCCATTGGAAGCAGGAGACTGAGTCTTTGATTGCAACTTGATCCACTGGATACAGCTTCTCCCGCATGCGTACGATTTCGAAGTTCACGAAGGTGCCCTTAAAAAAAGGGGGGAGGGTGGCAGAATGCCAGGTTAGAATTCAAGTAAATATTTATGAGTGCATAAGGTATTTGCTGAGCTAGTGTTGCATACGAAATGAACTTTCATGCTGTCGTGGAGGTAGTTCATCATGAGCGGCTAAATCTCGGTATTTAAATCCATAGAATTCATTCCTACTGGCTGTCTGTCGCTTTGCGACCGACTGCGACTCTGCAAGAGCTCATTTATTGTCAAACATGCACAGAAATGATTAAATGAACCCGTCAAAAAAGAAATAGTCGGTCAGTCGACCATTAGGACGGCAACGGGTACCATGGAGAGCAGTGGTGACTTGGATGTCAACTGGATCGTAAGGAGAGGGACCTGGGCTGCATCGACTTAACGGTCCCCTTCAAACCTCGTCGTGATCCAAAGACAAGGCCGAGTCAATGGTACGGTTGTTGGCGCCCGAGAACCACACCGGTCACCCCCTTCCCCCTCATCCCCCACCTGGTTCCACACCAATCAAAGTGCTCACTGGGACCAGCTGGGCGCTGGGTAAGGTCGCAGGGCATTAAATGCGACTTTTAATCCACAAAATGGGGTTACCTCTCTTGGGCAGCCTATATACAGTAAGGGGGCTAACTCATGAAATCTCAACAGCAATTCCGAAATGCGTTTCCGTTTAGAAAAGACTAATTCGGTAGGGTTGTAAAAGCAATGATTGTGCAGCATAATTCTGTATTAATTCAGTTACCTCAGGATGCCGGCTTTCGAACAAACTCCTTTCCGGCTGCATCTAAAAACCATACTCCGTAAAAATGACTACTTAAGTAGCATGCAATTTTTTTATTGGTTTACAGTGCCCTAAAAGATTCAATTATATTTCATGGAAAACATGCATAAAAATATCCAATCTTTTGCTCATTCAGTGGAACATTACGTCTTCTTTAAATTTTACACTCGAAGGAAGGGTATAATCTGGTTTTATAAAACTTTTCTAATTTCCAAATAATTTTGAACTCGACCTGTCGTTATGCTTGCATTCAGGGTTCCCAAACTACAAGCCGTATAATTTCCGCGTACGGAAAACCATACATTTCTCTACGGTATTAAGAGGAGATTATATGGGGTTCATAAAATTAAGCAGTCGATTTGAGCCACATTGGTAAATGCAGAGACATGACGTTTTACGAAGGGCCACTTCACGGTATTAAAAAATCCCACCATTAAACTTTTTTAAAACCCAATTATGCCCTTCCTTCGAGTGTAAAATTGAAAGAAGACGTAATTTTCTACCAAATGAGCAAAAGAATGAATATTTTTATGCATGCTTACTATGAAATATAATTGAGTCTTTAAGGGCATCGAAAATCAATGAAAAAAATGCATGCTACCTAAGTAGTCATTTTTTACGGAGTATGGTTTTTGGATGCAGCCGGAAAGAAGTTGTTTGAAAGCCGGCGTCCTGGGGTAACCAAATTATTATAGAGTTATGCTGCACGAAGATTGTTTTTACAACCCTACTTAATTAATCTTTTCGAAACGGAAACGCATTTCGGAATTTCTGTTGATATTTCATGAGTTAGCCCACTTACTGTACGTAAAAAGAAAGCTGTCGGAAAGCCATGCACAACCCTGCTCCTAGAACAGACAGTCAACAAAAATGTAGGCGGAGATCGCGCCGGCAGTCTGAGGAAGATGACATGTGTGAACTGAAGGATTTACGCTCAATGCAGTCAATGGGATGCTTACCATGTACTTGACCTGGTTGTCACTGTCTACCTTCTTCTTATTGCAGCGGAGAACCTGAACAGCCAAAAAGTCGCCTTGAGGGTGCCAGATCAGACTGATCTCGGCCACCGAGAAGAGGTTCTTGGTGCACAACTCATTGCGCGAGGGAACGCTCACTAGGGCTACCCTGTGAACAGAAAAACAAGACGGCGGCATTGAAGGCAAAATGTCGTAAAGAGCACAGAAGAGAGGAAGCAGTGGCCGAGGGGGGGGGGGGGAGAAGGTTGGGGTCCAATTCGCGGGCGGCCGAAAGACGAGCAGTCGTCGGGCTAGGACCAATGAGGATGGTATTTACTGGGGAAGGGGTCCAAAAGGGACACAGCGTTAAATTTGTCGCCGTTGAGGGGATCAGTCAAGGTGACAATGAGACAGCAAAGAGACTTTACGGGGAGGGACTATCTGACCGTTGCTCAGCCACCGCATGCGCCGACTTGAGTGTGGCCTGTGCTTTAAAAGACACTAAATCTGTGAGGAGTCATAAAGAGCGCGCGCCCGGCCGCCAATATACCTGCAGACACCGGACACGTGGCTATGGCTGAATAGAGGCGCAGAGCCCATCCGAACGACAGGCAGAGGAGAGGAGGCGAACGATCCACTCGCCTTGTATGATATGAAGATTTGTTGCGTAATCTGTCCACAAGCCTTAAATAGTCACCCACTAGTCGTTTTAATGTCGGCTGACGGACGCTGGAGGTCTTAATCCAGATTCAGACGTTCGTCATGTATTCCTGTACCGTTAGTGTGTTTATGAGGCGACTGGATGCCCAACTGTTGAAGGTAAGCTAGAACTCCTGAAACACTGTCATAACTGTAGACATGCTCAGCCGGCTGTGCAAGCATTTCACGAACAACGTCATTTCTGACGCAGTTGGACGAACCTACAGACGCGAGGTCTTCTAAATATTTCCTGGGGCCGAAGACAGCAGCCTTCACTGCCAAGATCATGCGGCCCGGCGGGCTGTCGAGGTAAGAAAGTGACGACGCATACAGCGGAACTGCAGAGAAATTAAGCTCTATTGGACTGTTTCGTCCAAGTCTACGATCAAAAATCACTCTGACCTACTAGAAGGCACAAGAGACGTTTTCGTGACAGCCAGTGCCAATGTACGGAAGCAGTGAGTGGAACATTTAGGAACAACAACAGTGGCAAACACACTACCTTGCCGGTGTGTTGGCTGTCTCCGCGACCCAGTAAGCAATGATGCGATCCGTAGGAGACCAGGCGAAATCACTGATTCCCACGTTGGCAGTGAGCGGCTTCTTGTCCAACGTCCTGAAGGTCTCCGTCTCATAGATGTAGATTTTGCCGCCCTGTAGGGTGGCAGCATAGGCGTCATCATTGGACCACTTGAAGGTCGGCCAGGCCTCGATGGTGGCAGTAAATCGGCGACAGGCTGTGCCCTTCCTGACATCCCAAATGATGATTTCAACCAGGGAGCGCACTTGTGGGTTTTGCTCGCCGCCCGGACAGGGACTGAGTGTCACCATGAATCTGTGAAGTCGAAAACGATGGAGGGAGAGAATGTGTAAGTTCAACAAACTAAATAGAGCTAGGGGATGAAGTATGCGACTGGGGAGTTGATATACTCGGTGCATCTAAGTGTAATTTAAGCGTTTTTAAGGCAAGTTGGTGCGGGCTTCGGCTTCTTCGCAGATAGCCACGGGAAAAACTGGTGTCCGGGGATTCATTGAACCAGGAATAGCAGATTGCTGTCCTCGTCTCCACAGAACTCCTGATGACACCCCTTGCCCGATTAGATTCTAAGCGGGAAAGAGGTCAAATTCCGGAAAAACCGGACAGCAATCGGTTTCGTCTTTAAGCACGAGGACACTATTATGCGTTTAAAATGGGATCTAGTTACTCTTTACTTTTCAGAACGTAACAGGTCTCTCCTTAGCTAGGCAGTATATCGTTGGGATTTCCGGGATACCCCGGAAGTGAGGTAGTTACTATGGCGGATTAGCAGAACGTCACTCCAAAATCTGTGAACCTGTGTGAAGCCTGTTCAGGGCGTAACCGTGGGCTTCTCGCAAGGTCAACCACAACATCTACGTCCAACTTATATTATATTTTTGGACTGTTTTAGAGTTGCGAAAATTCCCATAGCAATAATCAGAAGACGAGGTGGCGAGCATACGTAGCTTTCGATAAATTCTCGTCAACGGCATCGTGATGTTCTCGCTAGACGTCTCATCACCTTTCACAAACGGTCCGGTCACCGAGACAGTTGACTACCTCTGTGATTTTCTATCTGCCAGCCAGCAGGAAATAGGGATTCCGACGAATACACTCAAGGAACTATTACTACGATGTGCATTAAATGTGCAGTTCCTGTTCGACAACCAACTCTATAGACAAGTAGACGGCGTTGCTATGGGCTCACCCCTTGGACCTCTCCTAGCCGATGTCTTCATGAGAAAATTGGAGAGATCCCAACTAAGCGAACAGATCGATAAGCTTAAACATTACGGTCGCTATGTTGACGATATCTTTGCCATTGCCACTGCAGAGGCCGATGTAGCAACCCTCTTAGATGCAGCAAATCAGGCACATCCGTCGATCAAATTCACGCTGGAGATGGAAACGGGCGGTTCGCTCCCTTTCTTAGATGATTTTCTAAGAAGGAGACCTGACGGAAGTGTTCGCAGAAGCGTCTATCGGAAGAAAACCTGGTCTGGACAATACACGAACTTCGCCAGTTTCGTACCCCTCCAACAAAAACGAAATCTAGTCCGACGTTTGGCACAAAGGGCTGGAAAAATTTGCTCAACAGATAGCATCGAGGAGGAGCTCAGAAAAATCCAGGACTTCCTTCGCGAAAACGGATATCCTGAAAGGTTTATTGAAAAGAATATTGTTGAACGACCGATCAAACCCGCCACACCGACCGCCGAAAAGAAGACTTTGTTCCTCAAGGTCCCTTTCCAAGGGGACGCCGCAAGTGAACTCCTAAGGAGACGCCTTGATCAAGCTGTCTCGCGAACCTTCCCAGCAGCCCGTGTTTTAAGGAGAACTTTTATCGATTTTTCTTATCGCTGACGTTTTTTTCTTCTACCCCGTTCTCATATAACTGTACTGGCCCGACTGGAATTTATCGAAAGCTACTTATGCTCGCCACCTCGTCTTCTGATTATATTATATTGACTCAAGCTTGACATTGAAAAGTGATCATTGAGGTGGGGGAGAGGTTGATGCCGCCCACGCCCCCTTCAACGTCGCGAACTACGATGTCTACCGTGTACCGTACGGTATGGTGGGCGCAGGGCAGTGACTTGCGTGTAAACTAGCTTACGCTGAAGCAGGCTTGCGTAGCATCTGCTGCACCCGCCCCTCCGTTACCCTCCTGGGGTCGGCGGCAAGACAAAGTCAGGAGGTGGGCTCGGGTGCGGTGAGTGACAAAGGTGGACGACCCGACTACGCGAGCCACACGCGATCTGGTTCGTGCACAATTGGTCATGTCGTCACCAACGCAGACCATCTCATGTGCAAGACACCGTCGCTGCCCCGGGGCTGTTGCGGTAGTTATCACCGTGTTCAGTTGGCATATAAGATCTGTTACAAGTTGTATGCACTGGCCACCTACCGAAGCCTAATTGTTTGGTAGCACAGTCTCCACAACAAGTGGCATAATTCATAGGGCGCTGACCGCTATATCTAAACGCGCTTTTTAAAAGTTCTTAATTGATACAAGGACCCCATTATAGTCTTAAATTGACCCCTAAACGTCGATCTCCCATCACACCAGCAGCAATCGGACCGGGACAACAGGGGCCCTGGGATGACAGCATCCACCTGTTGGCCCGATGGATCCACGGGCGACGAATAGTGGAACCTTCCTCAGTGCGGACTTGCTGTGAGACAAACAGACTCTCGGACCAAATATGCTGCCAGGGGCAAAGCAGCATTAACACCTCCAGGTGCGCCCAGGCACCGATCAGCAAAGTTGGCTACCTATGAAAAGGTCACGGGGCCTTATCAGTATTGCGTGACGAATGTTACCAGCTTTACATCCCGCGGTCACGTGTCACCCCGATCCTCAAAGTGGTGTGTGTGTGTCGCATGGGAAGAAAATTGTAGAATCCCACTGCAAAGAGGAGCTATTCCACTTTCCATTCGCCCTACGCAACCGCTTCCCTGCGAGCCACGATCTAACTGGGATTTTTGACGAGACAAAAGGGCCACGGACAGTGCGCCGTGGTTAAACTAGCTGAGAGCTAGTGGTACAGGGCGAGAATTTGCTGCTCAACAACCGTAACTATAAATAAAACTGTGGTAGGGGGCGCTCACTGATCGTTCTTACGGAACTCACTCGTTCCGTTGTGCCTTACGGGCTCTCTCTCGAGCCTCGGGTGTTCCACACTTCGGGGTTGGGTATAATTGGCTGACGGCGGCTAATAAGCCAGAAATGGCCATTCCAGTCTCCCTTATCTTTGTCGGTAATAACATACTGCCTGTATCATGCGCCGCTGTGCGGCTGCTGGTTGGGCTCAAGAGACAGCCCGTAAGGCACAACGGAACGAGTGAGTTCCGTAAGAACGATCGGTGAGCCCCGCCTACCATTGTATATTCCCGATCGAAACCGACAGGGCAACGGGCTCGTGGCCCGGTGAGTAGCGGCGTGGACTTCTAACTACTAACAGGTCGCGAGTTCGAGCCTCGGGTGTTCCACACCTCGGGGTTGGGTATGACTGGCTGACGACTGCTAGTAAGCCCGAAATGGCCATCCCAGTCTCCCTTGCCTTTGACGGCAATAACACACTGCCTATAAATGAAAATTTCTAATCCAGCAAATTATGCGCATCTTTCTTAGCCTCTTTTTCGGATCCCAAGTGCATCCCATTAGTCTGATTAGAAAAGGTTGAATAGAAGTTTGTGTTGTTTGGTGGGAAATGCGTCCTAATAAAAACCGAAATTCTCAGAGGGAAAATATTTAGATTTGAAATGAGGTCGCCGTTTGGTGTAATGCTATTAGGTATTTTGGCCTTGTTTACAATGCACCCCAAACGTTCACGTATTATGTATTTGTTAAAGTTCAACTCTCTAGAAGTCCTGTGTCTATATATGCGTAAAGGAAACTATTTTTTTTTAACTTGTTACTTAAAAATGACAAAATCGACTTAATTTCAGTACAGGAGTATTCCAGTCGTGATTTATTTCTGGATGAAAACGCGATAAGTGGCCAAAATAAAAACAATTTTGCAGATGTCTGGCTTTTCGAGGGGCATCCACTGAGACAGGATCGTGTTAATTACTTTCGGCCATTGGTAATACTACTGCAAACGCACCTGAATGTTCTTTGGTTTAAAGCACACCTATACATTTAAATTAACCCTACGTGCGTCTCATGGGCATTGAAGTACGAAGGAAAACACAATTAGCTGCACGGCAGCCCCTAACGTAAGTCACCTGTCTCTACCGAGTCCATGACAAACAGCAATATAGATGAAAGTGCTACCGAGTTACAAGAGTATAAGACGGATGTACCGACTTCGTAATAGTGCGGATTTCAAAAAGCAGGGTCTGTTACCTTTCCTGTGGTGAAAAGTCAGCCATTCGAACCTCTGCGTGAGCGAAACGTCCGACACGTTGAAAGTGCTCGCCTCCCCATAGAATAACTCCCTTCTGGTGCATTGTAGCCAGATAGGTGCCTTGTGGTGACCATTGTACCCAACCCTCGCTCCAGTATTCCCGCTGCTCAACTGGAATGACTTCATTAGTTGTGTGCCAGTAGACCGAGCACATTTCACCGTCCTTTTCTAGGAGGGCAAACTGGTCGCGACAGTACTCATTCAGGAGCCAACTACGGAGGTTCCCCTGAAAAGAGCGGAGTAAGTCGAAAATCGAGAGGTTGAAAACATTACCCTCTCCACGTACGGCTTCTTCTCTATAGGGATCCACTCGGCCGTCACATTGACAGATTGTTCGAAGTCACTAAGCAGGGTGACCAATAGGGTGTGCGCCTTGTCCAGGTGGAAGTTATTCATGTCTTCGACGGCCTTTGCGGCTAGTTCGGGTGTCTGATAGCCAATAAACATGTAGCCCTTGGTGTGACCTTTGTCATCACGGGGCATATTACTGTAGGTGAGTTCGCCAACGGCTGAAAACTTTTTGATGAGCACATTCGTCAAAAGCTCTGCCTTGGTCTGGTCTACGACAGGACAACCGTCGACAATGATCACGCTGCTAGTGTAGTCCTTGGGTTCTGGTTTCAAAGCCAGAATATCTGGAATAAGGTCTAGGTAGAAAAAAAAGATGAACTGAATAAGACGGAAGACTAGGCAGTAGAGCCAAGTTGTCTTACTGGTGGTTTGTGAAATTTTAAGCAAACATAAGTTATAAATGAAAAAACGGTACAATCGAACTCTAAGACTTGTAAAGGACAAAGATTATTTGTAAAGGCGAGGAAGCTTACGTATACGCATAATGATTAGTGGATAGATGTTAGAACTCCAAAAGTAAAGCAGGGCTATAGAATTTTCATTCATATTTTGAAAAAGGCCTAATTTTCATGAGAGCGAGATTGGCGAACCAACAGATCTCGGCTCGAATCCAACGCCGAATGTGTCAGGCCCGAGCGGAAACGACAGGAGAAGACGACTGCGAAGGCTTTGATGGCAATTTACAGGAGGTTTATGTCATACTTCTTGTAAATCATCGCAACGACGACGTCGATGCAGTACTTACTCACTTGTACTCGATACGACTGCGATCATGCCTGATCTAGCCGGCCTCGATGACGTCACGAACTGTACTTATCCACGCGTGACGATCGGCGGCAGTAGATCCGGACAGTTCAACTCACTCTCTTCGCCAACGACGGAGATCGAATGCCGAAAGTCCAAGAACCACCTCCATGTCTTGACGAACTGTGTCGAGCCAGGTTTTGAGTTGATCCCCTTCCCGACGCCTCCCATGGGGCAACGGTAACGGATCGAGGGCCGTAACACTGACTTCCTGAGGTGGACGACGAAGAACATGCCCAAACCACCTCAGTCGGCTTTCTTGGATTGCCTGGGTCATCCTTGCGATGTTGTCGCAGCGCGTGAAGACTGTTCCCTTTGAGAGGAAGTCGGTGAACTTCACTCGTAGGATGGTCCTCAAGGAGTGGTGATCAAATACCTCCAGTTTTCGCTCGTCCTCCACGCGCAAAGCCCGCTATTCACAACCGTAGAGAAGGATAGACCGGACGGATGCACGGTACACGCGAATCTTAGTGGCGACGGAGATGTTGTGTCGGATCCATAAGCATTTCCTAAGGCTTGATAAAACCTTAGGGAGACAATGTCATCCATACTCTGGCTATTCGGCAGTAGCCTCACCCCAAGGTATTTAAAACTGTCTACTTCTTCAAGTTGACAACCACCAATCCCGAGGGGTGCGCTCTCCTGGTCAGGGATGCAGCTTTAAAAAACTTTAGTCTTCCCAGCGTTGTTGTATAAACCGACCGATTAAGCGACCCCGTTCACCCGTGACACCACAGACTGCAGATCAGCAAGACTTGGAGCAAGTAAGGCGATATCATCGGCATAGTCGAGATCAGTCAGTCGATGTCCGGGTGCAAATTCAACGCCGTCACTCTCGCGTAGGACCCTCCCGAGAATCCATTCAATAGCGTAGTTGAACAGAATGGGCGACAAGATACAACCTTGTCGAACGCCAGGCCGAATACCGAACGGTTGGGTGAGATTGTTGTGGACCAGGACTCTCGCAGTAGCGGAGCGATAATAGGCCTTGATCATGGCGGTGATTTTTGCCGGTAAACCATCTAGCGCCATTATCCGCCACAAGGACTCACGATGGACGAGATCGAACGCGGCGGCAAAGTCAATGAAGCAGACGGCCGTCAATTGCTGGTAGCTATGCGCCTCGGGGTGAATATATGGTCTGCGCATCCACGTCCAGCACGAAATCCGGCTTGGTTGGGCCTCGTCCTTAAGTCACGCACAGCCTGGAATCGCCTGCAAAGGACAATAGCGAAGATCTTCGCAGCAACGTCGATGAGACTTATGCCGCGGTAGTTCTCTCATCTCGTCTTATCTTCTTTCTTGAGGATAGGTACAAGGATGCCTAAGCCCCGGTCATCAGGAACAACCTCGTCTCTCCATGCTCGTTCAGTCACCTCATGGAGCCAGGGCGCCAGAGTGTCGACACAAGACTTGAAGATTTCAGCGGGTATACCGTCCTCTCCGGGTGCCTTACTGTTGCGTAGCTTTCGTATGGCATCGACGACCTCTCCTTCAGAGCTAGGATCGCATGGAACTGTATAAGTGGGAGAGGGAAGAAACTCCGCTGAAGAGGAGAGCAAGGGCGTGGTGGGTTGGGTATCGAAGTTGACGTGGTGCTCAAAGTACTCACGCCAGCGCTCGACTTTGGCCGAGTTGTCAGTAATAAAGCCGCCGTTCACGTCGCGAACAGAGTCACTCAGTGTAGAAGGCTAACCGCTAACTTGCCGGATAAGTTGGCAGAGTTTTCGAGTGTCACCAAGGTTCGAGGCCTGTTCCATGGAGGTCACAATTTCAGCCCAATACTGGTTCCGGTCATCCCTGGCCGATTTTGCCGTCATCTTCCGAAGTTGGCGGAAGCAGTCATCGTTACGGGACCTGGCTCGAGCTGTCTGAGCAGACAACTGCAGGGTTCTTCCGCTGATCCAGTCACTGCAGCATCGCTGCGTGTATCCAAGGATTTTCTCAGCTGCCCCATAGACTGACGTTTTTAGTGACGACCACTTGTTACCGCCTTCTCCGTCGGTTCGGGTAGTAAAAAAGGTCCGGATTTCTCTGCTCAGGGCTTCAGCAGTGCTAACTTGCTGGATTTTTGCGACATCGAGGCGTCTAGGACGTGGCATTTTTGGCACGGATGAGAAATGAACTTTCAAGCGTGTACGAACGAGAACACGGCGCGACCCATGGGCGTTGCCAGTCTCGACACCACGCATCGATCTGCTATCGTGAACCCAGCTGCAGAACCTTGAGCTGACTAGTATGTAATCAATTTGACTGGCCATATGACCGTCGTTTGAATACCATGTCAGCAGATGTTTTTTGCGATGCTGGAAACATGTGTTGGTAACAAGCAGTCGGTCTCGATCAGCGAAGTGCAGCAATCTCTCACCATTTTCACATTGGGAACCAAGCCCAAAGCGGCCAAGAAGATGACTGGTTGTGGGGTCGCCAGATCTAGCTCGACCATTCCAATCTCCAGCTACAGTCAGCAGATCGCGGCGAGGCAGTCTTTCAACTAACGCTTGCAACTGCGAGTAAAACGCCTCCGTATCGCGCTGTTCGGCAGCCGAAGTTGGTGCGTACACAGAGACGATAGAGATGTTCGCGAAGTGACCACTCAGTCGCACGTAGGCCATCCGGTCATTGACTGGTTCCCAAGCAAGTAGCGCGAGGTCCGCTTGTTGCGATAGGGCGATCGCCACACCGTGTCGACCAGAGGAGTCGCGCGGGCTGCTGTGTATAAGGTAAAGTGTGACTCGACTCCAGGGATCCTTATTTCGCGGGAGCCTGATTCGGGAAGTCGACGCAGTCGGTGGATACGGTTCTTGTTTCCGAAATTTAGAAGAAAAAAAACATGTTGTTAAGCGCTACTCATGCCCAAGCAGGACTTGTAGGCTTCTGCTGGAGGACTACCCTTGTCGGGCTTCATTTTGGCCTTCGAATCTCCACGGGAGATGATGAGTTGCAATCGCCGTTTTACTTCGTCACTGGAAAGTCTTAAAACTATATTTCGAAAGAGAGAACTGGGCATGTACGGTTAAGAAGCTAGTCAGTGTTATCCTCAGCGTAACGGCAGCAATGCACCTTGGCCTGCTCTGATCGTTGGTGCGGAATGATCTAGTACATTTACTTGTGCTTACGACGAAATTCATCAACGACTGTTTCAACTGTTTTTGATGCGGTCCGCTGGAGGCAGTCAACGTGACAGTCCAACCGGCCAGATATGCACTAGAAGCCAGCCCTCAGCTGGTTATCAAACACTTTACACCAACCTAGCATACCGTACACTGAATTTCTGAAGACGAGTTCACTCGCACCGCAATGTTCCCCGAGTAGTCACGATCCGTGATGCACGGACAACGACTCACTGTAACGCCAGGGTGGTTCGCCAACGCTTGCTGAAAAATCTAGTTTATAGCGTACTTGAAGAGTTTGTGAGGGAACAAGACCCTGAAATAGATCAGAAGTGACATCAAAGAGGTCACTCTCCTCGCCATTTACTTGAGCTTCAATGTGTGCTCAGCGAAAATAGTTCCGCAAACAAGAGCGAACTTTTCGTATTTATTGAAAGAATGTAAGAATGTTTCTCGACTTCGATACTAAGTCTGAAAGCACGTGGCCTTTACCAGTACAACGTGCACGTCTGTAGCCTGAATTACGAATTCCAGATCTAGGTCCTCCATGAATCATGATTTTGGGTGCCGCCCACTACTTCGTGGGATTCCTCCGGTAGATATCGTGTGGCGATCGCCTCCTCATAACATGCGAACTACTCAGTGCACGCACAAAAGTCAGTAACTGGAATAACAGCTTACTAATATTCGTCATTTCTGTCTCTGCAGCAACAACTGTCCTCAAAGAGCCGGTCGAATGACTTTCTCGCCATGATCTACTATTTAATATACAGACTGGAATGGTCAGAATTGACTGGGTGACTCTTTGAACAGCCCTCTTATCGGCCACTTTATCCTTGAGTCGACAGCGGTAAAGAAATATTGCGTTCAGATGGCCAGAAGCGGCTGTCAGCAGCACTTTTTAATTTGGTATTCCAACAGTGGTGGTACGGCTGGTCACAACGACTACACCTTGGTCAGCACACAGTCGCGTGGCTCTGTATGTGATCGCAGACCAACAAATAGGGTCAAAATAGCAACGACTATGCGTTGGACCATGGGCTCGTCGATGTAACCCTGAAAGCCAAATTCTCAGTCGCAGCTGGACGCCTATATTTGGCAAAAAACGACAGCCCAGGACATCATGGGCCGGGAACGTAAATCGGTCTCAGTTTGCTGTCTAACTCTAAAGACGATGCAACATCACCGATGAAAGGGGTCACCACGTCAGTCGGCTTACTTACCAACAGTGCGCAGACCAAAGTGCATCTCAGCTACATCTCGGGCCATGAGAAGGACTCGTAATTAATGGCTGCCACCCCATAGGAGTAGACAATGTTAGTATTTAGGGGCAATGTTTGTTCCAAATAGACAGGATGGAAATGACGCTTTTGTCAGCATCTATGTTGCTAGTAAGGATTTCGAGACTTCTTTAGAACCTTTGTGATATTCTAATCGTCACAAAGATCATAAACACCGGGCATCCGTTCGCTCGGTCCTTCTATATGGCCAGGAATGATGCACTGCGGCTTACGTGAGCAAAAAAACTGGAGGTACTCGGCAAACGTCGCTTATGGTCAGTGGAGTACACCAACGTCGTCCTAAATTCGAGTCCGCATTCACCGGAACGTCGCAAACATAATTTGGGCAAGCAGAGTGGGACTGAGTTAAATTGGGTACGAACTTCGTCGTCCTCTCCATGAGTCCAGTGTAGCCACCCTTTCTATGACGCATCTGTCTAACTGAGGACAGAAGTCAGCCTAAGGTCTGACTGGGCGTAGTCCGTTCGGTGGTTCTCGGGCCTTCGGCACTTGGTTTTAATAGGTAGAGTAGAGAGCGTCTAGGATTTTCCAAATCCATTTCCACAGGCCATCATGAGTGAACGGATAATTCGCGAACCATCGACAACGGTAGGGTTGGATGTGACCACGCTGACGCGATGTACAAGTAATCACAATGTGCATTCGGACGGGGATACTGCAGTATTCTCATCAGGATGACGTACTCGAGTTGCAAGAACCGGTACGATTCGTGCGTAAAAATAGGTCTACCATATCAGTTTGCTAAAATGGTACGTAAAAATATCAGAATGGCGTCAAAGTAACTATATATCCCTCGGATGGACCGCAACAATAACATGGGTTACGGTTTACGACGGGGGTAGGCCAAACGGAGAGCTAACAAGGTCAGGTGAGTACGGACCGATGATGGGTAAGCAAAGACACGTACTCTGATCAAATACGCCACAAATAAGTACGTACCTTCATCCTTAGTTGAGTTTTCCTGAGGAGCCATTGTGACACGCTTCAAACATGCACCGCGCGATCCTGGACAAGTGGACTGTTACACCTCCCGCCTATATTTCAGTCTAGTAAAACAAGACCGTATGAGTGTCTTGGCGAAGCTTTAAAATTAACTAATAAATTGCAAACTATTGAATATTAGGCGTATTTATTCAACAATTAACTCTGGAAAGAATTTTAATCCAGACAATTTACTTTTTTTTATCGAGTGAGAGTACACAATTTCTGGGTTTTAACAGAATCTCAGTGGGGAGCAATACAAAAAAATTATGCATCTACAAGCTCACACTAAAGTCGAAGAATCCCATAGTTTTGGGCAGACGCCCTTTAGAAATTTGTGCGGATGCCATGTCAAGTTAAATTTCAGACCGTCCAGCATGCTTATTGGGAGGTGTACATTCGTAGAAGTATGGCGTGCTGGTCAAAACGCAACAAATTACTCCCTCAAATAAAACAAAACAGAAGTCAAAAGGATGCGACAAGAAAAGCAGATAAATGCGAAATACCCAAGAATATGAAAATAAAAATACGATGAAAGTTGTGAGGGGATAACAAATTCGTATGACTGATTGGTGAGCACATGACTGCTTTCCATATATTCTCATTAAGCCGGTACATCTATTTAGGAACGAGATCTAGTGAAACATGTCAGTGACTAATGAAATCGACTAACGTTCATCCAAAAACATAGGCGGTGTGTGGGAATATGAGGGGAAGGTAATACGAGTCAATACCAGTGAGTGTGACAGTGAAATGACACGGAAGTTTGCTTACAGTTAGTCAATATTTGGCCATGGTAAGCGCTGAGCCTGAGTGAGGTTCTTTTGTGCGTACAAGACCGGGTTCTTTAACCTGATAGCAGCCGTTTTGTCGTTGCCAACGGACGCTGACCCTTTGGCTTAGGGTAGCTCCATGAATAGATAGATAGATAATTTTTATTAAAGACCCGTCGGGGTCCCACCAAAGCAAGTTAAAATAAATTTGCATGCGAGTTTTAGACGAGGTAGGCCGAATCTTTACAAAATGCAATTCCTAGTTTCTAAATTAGAAGTCCATTGAGAAACATGATGATTGAGGGGTGAAACCCTATACACCACTCGAAGACTGGCAACGGTTCCGAGAAATTCTGCACGAGCTGATCGTAAACCACTGTCCGCTTTCACAGAAGAGGTTAACTAACAGACCTCGATGGCTTACGCAAGCCTTGAAGAATGAAGTGAATAAAAAACGACGGCTGTGGAAAAAATCGCTTTCTGACAGGAGCCCCACATCTATATGCGCGTACAAAATTCAAAGAAATCGAGTCAAGGGTCTTATCCTTAAAACTAGAAAGGAATTCGAACGGGATCTGCTTAACCGTGCCGCGGAGAACCCTAAATTATTCTACGGTTACATTAGGCAGTGCACGCGGAACAAGGACCCAATACCCCTGATAAGGACTGCTGAAGGCGAACATCTCGCTGACGACAGGGCGAAAGCTGATCATCTTTCAGATTTTTTTCGGTCTGTTTTTAGTAGCGAAACAGGATTCAACCCTTCCGCGCTTCAATCCTTCGAAGACACCCCAATTATAGAGACCGTCCAGTTCAGTGAGGGTATGGTTCTGACGGAGTTGCTGAGGCTAAAAGAATCCAAATCACCAGGTCCCGATGAGATTCCGGCGAAGATTTTGAAGGAACTCGCCGGTGAGTTGTCTAAGCCACTCTCCATGCTTTTCCATACATCCTTCGAGACCGGATATCTGCCACCCGACTGGAAGTCGGCGTGGATTACGCCGCTGTACAAGGGCGGAAGTCGGGTCTCTGCGAACAATTACAGACCGGTCAGCCTCACCTCCATTTGCTGTAAGATTATGGAGAAGATAATAAAGCAACAACTAATGCAGTTTCTTGAACAAAACCATTTGCTTTCCGATTCTCAGCATGGATTCCGAAAAGGCAGATCCTGTGTGACAAACCTGCTCTACTGTCTGGAACACTGGACTAGGGCTGTTGATAGAGGAGATATGGTGCATGCCATCTATATCGACTTTAAAAAGGCCTTCGATAGTGTGCCTCACCACCGCCTTCTATACAAACTTAGCCGTGCAGGAGTGCGGGGTAAGCTTCTGATGTGGATTCGGAGCTTTTTAATCGGCCGCTCTCAAGCCGTCCACGTCGGTAACCAACAATCTGCCGAGCTTGCCGTTAAGAGTGGTGTTCCCCAAGGCTCTGTTCTTGGCCCTACGCTGTTCCTCGTATACGTCAATGACTGCGCAAACGAAGTGAATTGCGATGTCGCAATGTTTGCCGATGACATAAAGATTTGGAGTACCATACGAAGCGAAGTTGTCGAGGCGCGACTGCAGACAAGTCTGGACCACCTCGAGCAATGGTCGAAAGACTGGCTTCTACCGTTCAACGTAAACAAGTGTACTTTCCTACGCGTCGGCAGAACCAGTTCTCCTAACCACACGGTCTACCGTCTGACTGGCAAACCACTGCAAGAAGTCGACGCCCAGAAGGACTTGGGTGTATGGATCACAACCTCGCTTAAGCCTTCGCTGCAATGTTCAAAGGTGGCCAAGTCGGCGATGTCCATGCTATACCTTGTCAAACGGGCGTTCTCCTCCTTTGATGAAGACTGCTTCGCCAAGGTCTTTCAAACTTTTGTGCGACCGCACCTGGAGTTTGCTATCCAAGCATGGCGACCCTGGACCGCTAAAGACTTGGGCATAGTCGAAAAAGTTCAACGGCAAGCAACGAAACTTGTATCTGGGCAGTGGTCACTACCCTACGAAACACGATTAGCTAATCTTGACCTCTTTCCTTTGAGTTACAGACAGCTACGTGGGGACCTGATACAAGCTTTCCGCATCGTGCGCAATCAGGGCTGCTGCCTCGCGTTTGGAGACTTCTTCGAGTTGGCGACTACGACTAACCTGAGAGGCCATCCACTCAAACTGCGTGTGGCTGGTGTCCGGCTAGACACTCGAAAGTTCTTCTTCTCAAACAGAGTGGTGGCAGCTTGGAATGCCTTGCCTGAGGATGTTGTTATGTCAGGCTCGGTAGATACTTTTAAATGGAGACTAGATCAGCATTGTAGCGCGCACCACAATAACGCCGGACTTCGGCCACCTTGACAGCAAACGCGGACAATTTAGTGTTATAACGATGCTACTACCAACATTTAAGTAATATAAGTTTATGTTATTTATTCAGCTTGGGCCACGTCGCACACCGCTGTTCGCATTCACCACGATGCCTGTAGACTAAACAATTTTACTTCTTTTCCCGTGTCTTAAGCGTGCCTCAACTGTCCGCTGTATTTTGACCAACAAAGCAAGTTAATGTGCCTCTAAACTCTGTTAACGCATGACATTCTGTGTTCATCTGTACAGTTTTTGCTATTCCCCTCGCATCTCTTTCATGTTACTTCCTTTCCATTTCCTCCATATATATCCTCTGCATGTAACCAATAGGGATTTCAAAGGTACACACCTACTTTCCCTGAAATATACTGATACTGATACTGATACCACTCGAAATCCTTTTTGGGATTCGCTTCATGTCCGGATGCAGCTAAGCGTGTGAAAACGCCTCTGCATATGCTCATAATTTCGCCTTTTCGAGCCATCGCAGGAGGTGTTCTTGTATTCTTTCGGATAGGCGCTGACTTGTGCGGCCAATATAACCTGCTCCAATGAAGTAAGTGAAGGAGTAAATGCACATTGATATTGTCTGACAAGGTAAACTATCCTTGCCTTCTTCGCCTAAAATTGAGTAAGCAGAGAATTATATTTAAAAGCTTTGCTGATGGAAAGTCTCGCGAAGCAGCTTGACCAATGCACCTTCATGGAGTTCACTGGCGGCATCCCCCTGAAAAGGGACTTTGAGGAAAAGAGTTTTCTTTTCGCCAGTCGGTGTGGTGAGTTCATCCATTTGCTCGACAAAATCCTTTGCAATAAACATACCAGGATGCCATTTTTGCGAAAGAAGTCCTGGGTCTTTCTAAGTTCATTCTCGGTACTGTCTGCCAAACAAATTTTTCTAGTCCCTTATGTCAAACACCGGACTAGGTTCTGTTTTCGTTAGAGGAGCATCAAATTGCCTCAGTTTATTTTCCTGATCAGGTTTTCTTCCGATAGAGGCTCCCTAGGACGATACAGTCAGGTTTCCTGTTCAGGAGGACATTTTAGAAAGGGAACGAACCAGCCTTCCCATCTCCAAAGCGAACATGATCGATGGATGTGCTGATTTACAACAGTAAAAAGGGCGGCCAAGTCGGCCTCAGTTGTGATAATAGCAAGGAGGTCATCAACCTGGCGACTGTAATGTTCGGGTTAATTGGTCTGATTGTTCGGCTGAAATTTCTCCAACCTGGCCATTAAAACATCGGCTATGTGGGGTCCAAAGGCGAGCTAGCAGAAACGCTGTCTATTTCTCTACAGAAGGGTTTGTCAAGAAGAAACTGAACTTTTAATGTGTGTCTTAGCAATATTTCCTTGGGTTTTTTTCCACGGAACTCCTATTTTCTGCTGATTAGTTAGTACCTTTTCGTAGATGTAATCAACTTTCTCAGTGACCAGGACGCCCAGTAAGAACATTACAAAGCAGTTAACATCATAATCTTTCTGGTTGTCAATGAATTTGATTTTATCCCAGTAGCTACCTGGCGTTAGCTGACGTTTTGGAGCTTAGGTTTCTCTGCTAAACTCTTTACTATCGCATAATACGGACAGTTTCGCAAGTCCAAAATGGTCCAACTGGCACGCCATCCTAATAAGTCTTGTATCTGACATTTTCGACCTCCGGAGATTTACCTTTAATGGGATATCTATCTACTGGACGCCTTAACGGCCCGTAGGTATTAAGAAGCCGATTCGTTTTTGCACCATGTCCATCCTTACAATTCTACACCAGGACTAGCGTGAAAAAACCTACCTTCTTTCGGCCGCCTCCTTGCAACGGCGCTGAGGGATTCCGAAAATCCAGGAAATGCTGAGTCGTCTAC